TGAAATGAAATCTACTGTATACTTCTCAATGTTGAGTGTTTTCCTATATTTCCTATAACTCCCCAGGTACATTTATGTATTATTATTATTGCCAATACTAAAGGCAAAATCCTTCTTTTAAAAATATTGTACATATTTATGGGGTACCATATTTTGAAACATGTACATATTGTGTAATGTCCAATTGGGATAAATTTATCTATTTCCCTAGATATTTCATATTTTTTGTTGAAAACATTCAAATCCTATCTTCTAGCTTTTCTCTTTCAAATATGCAGCACATTAACAATATTTACAGTCAACCTACTTAATGGTGCAATAGAACCCTGGAAATTTTTACTTTTATCTAGCTATAACTTAATACCCATTAATCAACCTTTCCCCATTCCTTCTACCTCCCTTCACTTCCCAGCTTCTGGTAACCACCATTATACTTTTACCTTCTACAAGATTACTTTTTTAATTAATTATTTTTTTAAAAATTATTTATTTATTTAAAAAGTAGAGTTACAGAGAGAGAGAAGGAGAAACACAGAGAGAAAGAGAATCTTCTACCCATTGGTTCAGCCCCCAAATAGCCAGGACAGCCAGGGCTGCACCAGACCGAAGCCAGGAGCCAGGAGCTTCACTAGGGTCTCCCACATGGGTTCAGGAGCCCGGGGACTTGGGCCATATTCCACTGTTTTCCCAGGTGCATTAGCAGGGAGCTGGATCTGAAGTGGAACAGCCAGGACTTGAACTGGTGCCCCAGCGCTTAACCCACTGTACCACAGCACTGGTCCCTATTTTTTTTTTTTTTAATTTCATATATGAGTGAGATCATGTGATGCCTATCTTTTTGTGCTTGGCTGATTCCATTTAACATAACAACTTCTAATTCCATCTGTCCTTTTTTTTTAATCAAGATTTCATCCCATTTTATGGATTAGTAGTACTGTATTGTGCATATGTACCACAAAACATCCTGCTTTTGTCCTCTGTTAGTACACTGTAGAGACTGAATGGTTTGCTGCCAGGAGCTTTAGCTATGAAATTAAAGAGACCTAGAGTCAAACTCTGGTACTGGGCTGTAAGTTGTGGGATCATAGGCAAGTTACTTAACACTTCCGAGCAACACATTTTTTTATCTGTGAAATTCTTGTGCCTGTACGTTCATTTTTTTTTTTTTGCCTCATACAAAAGTGAAATTCTGAGTACACAGAATGTAGTTGCTATATTTTATCCCTGTTGGATCTTACTGCTAGTTTGTTCTTTGCCAAGGGAATACCTCAAATACCATAAAAACAGCTAAACAATTTATTCTAGCCTTTTCTGCTAGAGCCTTGAGATACCTAGGCTGAAAGTTTAGGTACAAGGAAACAGAAAAATAAATTAAACCAACAAAATAGATACTGTGCTTATTAGGGAAAGTAGAACCATAATCTACGTTGTTCTCTGGCAGCAGCAGAGTTATGGAAAATATGGTGAAAATATTTTCTATAGTCAATGGATTTTTTTTTTTTTTTGGACAGGCAAAGTTAGTGAGAGAGGGCGACAGAGTCTGGTCTTCCTTCCGTTAGTTCACCCCCAAAATGGCTACTACAGTAGGCGCGCTGTGCCAATCCGAAGCCAGGAGCCAGGTGCTTCTTCCTGGTCTCCCATGCAGGTACAGGGGCCCAAGCACCTGGGCCATCCTCCACTGCCCTCCCTGGGCCACAGCAGAGAGCTGGACTGGAAGAGGAGCAACCAGGACTAGAACCTGGTGCCCATATGGGATGCTGGCGCCGCAGGCAGAGGATTAACCAAGTGAGCCATGGCGCCGGCCCCATCAATGGATATTTTTAAAATCGATTTTTTAAAGATTTATTTATTTATTTGAAAGAGTTACACACAGAAAGAAGGAGAGGCAGAGAGAAAGAGAGAGAGGTCTTCCACCTGCTGGTTCGCTTCCCAAATGGCCACAACAGCAGGAGATGGGCCAATCCGAAGCCAGGAGCCAGGAGCTTCCTCTGGGTCTCCCACGCGGGTTCTGAGGCCCAAAGACTTGAACCATCTTCTACTGCTTTCCCAGGGAATAGCAGAGAGCTGGATCATAAGTGGAGCAGCTGGGACTCAAACTGGTGCTCCAATATGGGATGATACTGTTGCTCTTATTTTTATGCTATTGTTTTGGACATTGTCTATGACTGGGAGTGGAGGGAAGTAGCCCATTAATTTCCATATCCTCTGTTAATATCCATAATATATATTGTAGAATGTTAAATAATTTGACAACATCTGATGGTGTATACACACACACATACACACACACACACGGTAATGGTCTGTGTTTTGAACTTTAAGAGTTCATTACCCTTTCCAAAACTCCTGTTTCCTTTGTTCATTGTGCTGTTGTGTTAATTGATCCAGTCAGAGATTTTTCACCATTCAAAGGATTTTGGTTTATAGGATATTACATGTGCAGACTGTATTTTCCACTTTAAATATCTTATCAAAGTTCAGAGTCCTTCAACACTAGGCAACAATTGGAATAAGAAAACATGTGGTTACTTCAGGAGTTGAGCAGTATATCCTGTGTGTTTGACCTCTTGTCTTTATTCAAGTGATTTATTCTAATAACATTAAAAGTTGCTTCCCAGTAGATTGTTTCCTTTGATAGGTGTCTTTATAATTTTTTTTTAAAGATTTATTTTATTTATTTGAAAGAGAGATACAGAGAGAGGTAGAGACAGAGAGAGAGGTCTTCCATCTGCTGGTTCACTCCCCGGATGGCCTCAATGGATGGAGCTGAGCTGATCTGAAACCAGGAGCCAGGAGCTTCTTCCAGGTCTCCCATGTGGGTGCAGGGGCCCCAGGACTTGGACCATCTTCCACTGCTTTCCCGGGCCATAGCAGAGAGCTGGATTGGAAGAGGAGCAGCCGGGACTAGAACTGGCGCCCACATGGGATGCTGGTGCTTCAGGCCAGGGCTTTAACCTGCTGAGCCACAGTGCCGGCCCCAATTCTTTAATGTTACTAGTCTGAAAGGTAAGATTTTTCCAGATATATTTTATCTTCTGAATATTTAGCCCATGATATTATCCTTATGTAATAATACAATAATAATAAGCATAATTTATTGCACACTTGCTATATGACTAGTACATGACCTCATATGATTCTCAAAACCTTTCTGTGTGGCAGTATTCTCAATTAGGATTATGTTTAACAGAGAGAGAATTAAGTACTCCAAAGGAGCACTTCAGGCCTATGGTTGATTCCTCTTTACTGCTAAAGTATAGAAGAATCAGTATCAGTTTAAGGTTGATATGACGTGGTGGCAGGGAATCAGTCCCTTTCTGTGTAATATCTCTGGCAAACGTAGCTTCCATTCCTAAGGTTACTTCATAAACAAAACAAGATGTTGGAGCACCTGCCATAATGTCCATATTCTAGCTCCAAGAAGGAAGAAGGGAGTGGACGTCACAATATGCTCCCATACTTTTGAGAACACTTCCTAGAAGTAGAATGTACAGTTGCCACATACATTCCAGAATTTAGATCAATGAACACACTCAGTTGTAAGAGATCCTACCCCCACCCCTGCTGTCATGTGTGTGTTTCCAGCTAAAACTAAGATTCTATGGCAATGGAAGAAGGGTTATGGGTACTGAGAGACAGGAGTCCGCCGAGTTTGAGTGCTATTATTATCCCCATCTTACAAATAGAGATGTGGAGTCATAACAAGTTAAATTGATTTACTAAGAACTCACAGCTGGTAGAGCCAATATGCAAATCCACGTCAGTCAAACTTCAGAGCTCTTAAGCACTGCTTTGAAGTGCTTCTACATTAAAACAGTTATTTAACTTTATTCTGTCTCGTCTACTCAATTAGTGTAAAAAAGCTTTCTGACTAACTTGCTAAGTCAATCTGTTGAAACAATGGACTCATTTATTTTACCAATGATTCTTGGCAAAGGACACAGTACTGGTATCAACTTGTGCAATCAAGCATTTACTTTTGCTGACATTTTGGGTAGGTAGATTCACAGAATTTACGGACAGGTTTAGAAAATTGGCTGACAGACAGATTAAAGTCTTATTTTCTGTCTTCTACTTTTCCAGGGTTGCAGTGGGTTTACACTTCATTGAGATTTTAAAGCAAAATTCTAAAGGAAAATACTTTCAGTAGGACCAATAAGAATTGATAGAAAACAATGATTTACTGTAGGAAAAATCACAGTAACATTATATTTTTGTTCTATGGAAAAGGAAATGATAGTGTATTGTTAAGGTATTGCTAGCAGGTATTAGAATAAACTGTTTTTTGAAGTTATTTGAAAATTATTACATTTAGATTGTTAATCTAGATTCTCTTAGTGGAGTAAAAAATCCAAATTATATATCATGTTATGAACTAGGGCTTCCTTCCTGACCCTCTTTCCTCCCCCCATCCCTCTTTCTTCCCCCCATCCCTCCCTCTCTTTCTCTCTTCTCATTACACACGGCTTAATTTCTTATCCTTTACCTTAGATTCCGTTTTGTTCAGGTTCTTAGTTGTACCTAGATCATGAAGATTTTAATTTTTCCCACACATACATAGATCTTTGCTTTTTAGCAGCAACAGGGAAAATTGAATGTAAATGAATAAATCGAACAGTAAATACCATGCTGTATATATGTACAATTAATGTTGCTTAAAACTTTCATCATTTAAGGAACTTCTTTAGAGATATCAATTTCTCATGAATAATGAGAAGTGCTTCTCCCAACGACCACAGCGCTGGGTACCCTGAGTGCTAATGACAAGTTTTAATGATATGATGATTTTTTTTTTCCAAAGTCAACAGACATTCTCACTGCTGTGGTAACTTCTAGAAACAAATAATTCAAATTTAAGAAACACCTCAGAAGTCAGAGAAAACAGTGATCACAGCACAGTTCAAGGGTCAAAGTGCAGTAGAAATTTCTACTTGTTTGCTGTGGGTCTTTGTGTCTTTTTAAACATTAAACAAGAAAAGGACCAGGGACCAAATAACCTGGACAAAAGAACATAAAATTATTAGTCTCTAATGGATTTTTCATTAATCCTTTAATTTATCATTAACTTACATTTAAACAATAATGTACTAAAACATATTTCTTAATAAAATTTAAGGCCTAATTCAAATAAAGGCAAAATCCCCATTTTTTTTTTCAATGATTCTTTGCCAGCAATACCTTCAATTTCTTCAAATGGACTACTTTGATTAAACAAGTTGTAGACAGAGTATAACATTCAAGGATTGTGAATGTTATGGCCTAGATGTGGAAACAGATGACATAGGTAAGTATATCACTTTACCTGTGCAACTCAATGACTTTTCTTAATTTATTAGTGTTTCTGTTTTTTTCTGGTGGTGTGTTGGCTGCTGCACATGGATTTTTTTCATTTATCTTTACAGCAATGCTATATAGCAACTTACTATACATTAAATGTATATGTAATATACAGTAGGAGCTGCCAATTATCCAACTCAAAATTGAGAGAGCTAAAGACTTGTAATTCACTTAGCTAGTAAGTAGTGGGGTTGAGTAACAATTGAGTAAGTTATACATTTATTATGATAATTAAATGAGAGATGCAGGCAAGGGTTTTAGGAGAGTGCTCTATATATAGAAGATATTAGTCTGTAATTAATTTCAAATGTATTCTCAGAGTTTGGCTTTGAGAATTTGAAAACCATTGCCTGGGCATATTAAAATTTTATTTCATTTATTTTACCAGAGTTTGCAGCCCACTTAGATGTCTTGGATTAAAATATCCTAAATTTAATATAACTTTTCCTAAACACAAGTTATTATTTTATGATTTTGGATTCATTTCAGAGACTCAAAACTGGAAAATATTTTTATTAAAAGTACAAGGATATTTCAAACATTTTTTTGAAAACTGGAATTAAGAGATAAATCTATTTTGTTCAAAACATTTTGAAATCCATACTATACGTTTTCCATAATTTTTTGAAGATCTCTTGTATATGATTTTTCTTATGTTTTCTACTGAGAAAATTTTTTTCTGAACTTACAGATGATTTACTATATACAGTGGAATTTGTTACTCTTTATGTGTCTACAATTTAAAGAGAGTTTAAGCTCACACACAATTTATGATCTTTATTATGGATCTTTATTGTTATCATTTGGCAGGGATCTTGCAGGTACTTCTACTTTGAACTGGTTCCACTATGTCATTAAGGACCCAAGTTCTTTCCATCTCTCCATATTCTCACTTTTTGTGTGATGGCTTAGTTCTCACGCTTCATCCCTCATCGTTGCCACTTGGCTGCTGCATAACCTGACATCACACGAGGACTTGAAAAGAGGATCATTTCCTTCCACACATTACCTCTTTTAGTGAGGAATACTTTTCCCCAAAGTCCCAGCAGAATTAGCTTCATTAGCCACAGTTGGCTGTCATTCCCAGGTGCAAGTTATTCATTGTTCAAATGGTATAAGATCATGATTTGCATTTTTGGGGGTGGAGAAGGGTCTTTCCTCCCTCTGATAACATGTTCTAGGGTAAACAAATTTAGGATTTTGTTAGCAAGGAAAAAGTAGGATAAGGCAAACAAGGTTTGAATGTAGTGTTTTATTTTTTAGAGATTATACTCAAAAATTCAATATAATTTTTTAAAGATTTATTTTTATTTATTTGAAAGTCAGAGTTACATGGAGAGAGGAGAGGCAGAGAGAAAGAGAGAGAGAGGTCTTCCATCCAATGGTTAACTCCCCAATTGGCTGCAACTGCCAGAGCTGCGCCGATCTGAAGCCAGGAGCCAGGAGCTTCCTCCTGGTCTCCCACATGGGTGCAGGGGCCCAAGAACTTGGGCCATCCTCCACTGCTATCCCAGTCCATAGCAGAGAGCTGGATAGGAAGAGGAGCAGCCAGGACTCGAACCAGCGCCCATACGGGATGCTGGCACTTCAGGCCAGGGCATTGACCCACTGCGCCACAGCGCTGGCCCCTCAATATAATTTTTTTAAAAAAATTTCTACCACCCACAAGTTTAGGTATGATGATTAGTGTCTGACTGAAAATCTATTCATGCTTTATTCTTTCAGAAATGCTCTTTGACCACTTATTAGATGTCAGGCACTCTTCTTGATACTAAGGGTAGAGAGATCAACAAGAAAGATGAGTGTCTGTTTTAGGAATACTTTCATCAGCAAGTAACAGAATAGACAATTACTGTGGCTCAAACAGTAAAGACATTTAATATCTACCCAATAGATAGTTAGAGATGGGCAGTCTGTAGTCCAGTTGCTCTAAGATGTTTCTTTCTTTTCTGCTTTCTTAGCATGGTAGCTTTTATCTTTATTTTTGTTATCTCATTTTTCCATGCTACTGTAGGTCCAGACGTTCTCTCCCTTCAAACCAAGAGGAACTGTAAAAGAAAGTTCTTTTCTTATTCCTTTCTCTTTCCCAAAGACTGAAAAGCTCCCAAAAGCCTTTTAGTCTACTTCCAAAAAGTCTTACTGGAAGGAATGTGCTACACTCATATCCTAAACAGTGAAGGAGTCTGGGAAAATAATAATCTAACAAAGTGTTAAGGAACTATACACAATGCTGCCTCAAAGAAATGAGCATTCTGCTTAAAAAGGGAGCCATGGATGATGATTGGTCAATTACATGTCCTTTATCGCCCTCTTCCTCTTGGAATTAATTACTTGACCACTTCATGAAAAAGAAGTGATAAATCAATACATTCATACTCTAGTCTTAGAAATTGTGTATAAGAAATTTGTATAGAAAATAATTTGTAGGCTTTGATTTTGCACATTCTGATAGAAAAGCTGTGTGTTTACATAGCTTTACCATAATGGGAGTTGGGATGTCTAGCCAATTCATTTGGGCTCATCTTATGGTTGTAAAATGTTGTAGAGAGGGTTAGGAATAGAGAACCATGTATTTGTGTTAAATGTTAGTTGGTCAGATAAAGGGTTGATAACCAGAATCTACAAAGAAATCAAGAAACTCCACAACATCAAAACAAACAACCCACTTAAGAGATGGGCCAAGGACCTCAATAGACATTTTTCAAAAGAGGAAATCCAAATGGCCAACAGACACATGAAAAAATGTTCAAGATCACTAGCAATCAGGGAAATGCAAATCAAAACCACAATGACGTTTCACCTCACCCCGGTTAGAATGGCTCACATTCAGAAATCTACCAACAATAGATGCTGGAGAGGATGTGGGGAAAAAGGGACACTAACCCACTGTTGGTGGGAATGCAAACTGGTTAAGCCACTATGGAAGTCAGTCTGGAGATTCCTCAGAAACCTGAATATAACCCTACCATTCAACCCAGCCATTCCACTCCTTGGAATTTACCCAAAGGAAATTAAATTGGCAAACAAAAAAGCTGTCTGCACATTAATGTTTATTGCAGCTCAATTCACAATAGCTAAGACCTGGAACCAACCCAAATGCCCATCAACAGTAGACTGGATAAAGAAATTACGGGACATGTACTCTATAGAATACTATACAGCAGTCAAAAACAATGAAATCTGGTCATTTGCAACAAGATGGAGGAATCTGGAAAATATTATGCTGAATGAATTAAGCCAGTCCCAAAGGGACAAATATCATATGTTCTCCCTGATTGGCGACAACTAACTGAGCACCAAAGGGGAAACCTGTTGAAGTGAAACGGACGCTATGAGAAACAGTGACTTGATCAGCTCTTGTGCTGACTGTTGATGTACAATGTACTACTTTATCCCTTTTAGTATTTTTTTATTCTAGTACTATTGGTTGAACTCTGTAATTAACACATAATTATTCTTAGGTGCTTAAATTTTAACTGAAAAGTGATCCCTGTTAAATATAACAGTGGGAATAAGAGAGGGAGGAGATGTACAATTTGGGACATGCTCAATCAGACTTGCCCCAAATAGTGGAGTTAGAATCATGCCAGGGGATTCCAATACAATCCCATCAAGGTGGCATGTACCAATGCCATCTCACTAGTCCAAGTGATCAATTTCAGTTCACAACTGATCACACTGATAGGTCTAAGAGTCAAAGGGATCACACAAACAAGACTAGTGTCTGCTAATACTAGCTGATAGAGTCAAAAAGGGAGAGAACGATCCATCATGGGAAGCGGGATACACAGCAGACTCATAGAATGGCAGATGTCCTAAATAGCACTCTGGCCTCAGAATCAGCCCTTAAGGCATTCAGATATGGCTAAAGAGCCCATGAGAGTATTTCAGGCATGAAAAGCCAAGGCACTCTGGAAAAAAAAAAAAGAAGACCTAAATGAAAGATCTCTGCGAGTGAGATCCCAGTGGAAAGAACAGGTCATCAAAGAAGGAGGTACCTTTCTCTGAAGGGAGGAGAGAGCTTCCACTTTGACTATGACCCTGTCGGAATAAGATCGAAGTTGGCGAACCCAAAAGGCTTCCATAGCCTTGGCAACTCATGACTAGAGCCTAGGGAGATTACTGACGCCATAAACAAGAGTGTCAAATTGTTAAGTCAACAACAGGAGTCACTGCGTACTTAACTTCTCATGTGGGATCTGTCCTTAATGTGTTGTCCAATGTGAAGTAATGCTATAATTAGTACTGAAACAGTATTTTACACTTTGTGTTTCTGTGTGGGTGCAAACTGATGAAATCTTTACTTAATATGTACTAAATTGATCTTCTGTATACAAAGATAATTGAAAATGAATCTTGATGTGAATGGAATGGGAGAGGGAGCGGGAGATGGGAGGGGTGTGAGTGGGAGGGAACTTATTGGGGGGGGAAGCCATTAAACTGTACTTTGGAAATTTATATTTACTAATTTTAAAAAAATGTTAGTTCGTTGTTACTCCTTGGGTAAAAGCTTCCTTGAGTTAGCACCCACTCATTTTCTTATAACACCAACCAAATTTTATTGCCATCCTTAACTGTTCCTCTAATGAACTTCCTGAGGGAAGAGAATATTTTACTTATTTTTGTATTCCTAATTCTAAGGATGATTCTTGGCACATGGTAGAAACTCAGGGAAAGTTGGAATTCGAAGATTATCTTTCAGTGTATAAAATATAGGAAGGAAAGTTCAAAAATTGTATATTAAGGAATTAAGACTTGAAGGTTTTAAAAAATTAATTTAAAAAGGTAGTGATAACAACAAAAAGATTATGTGGTAACAAGTTTATGAGGAATAATTTGACTCTTCTTTTATTAAGCTTTTTTTTTTTAATTTTCATCTCCCTAGGTAACTACTTTGGAGATCATGTGGTGCTTGTACAAATTGCTTGGGAGTACATGGCACAGAATCGGGGACAAAGAGCAAATGAGGTGGAACTCAGAATCAGCCTGTCAAAGCAAACATGATTTAGAACAATTGTCCATATACTGTACCATTTTTATAGTGTTGAAAGCATCAGTGACGTATTTTATTGCAGTCTATCACAAGCTGCCTTTACTGTATTAGATGAGTGACTCAAAACAGCTCTTCCAGAAGCTCAAATGTTTGCCATTTATTTCTTTTAAAAATTCAAAAGCAGCTTTGCATCAATATTTAAGATAATTTATTAATTGTTATTACATTGCTAGTTAACACTCTACTGGTGATGTTACTTGTGTGTGTCACGTGCTGATATTTTGAAAAGTCAGTGAAATTTTCCCTAGAGAGTATAGTTTTGTACACTGCTTCCATGCAAGATATGGACAGAGGGTGGAACTCTGCCAAACTGGGTGGTTCTCAGGTCTGCAAGTAATAAATCCTGGCTCCTGGCCAAGTCAATTAACCTATCTGTTGCTCAGTCTCCACATCTGTAAAAGATGAGTATATGAGAAGACAACCTCACATTCTTGAGATTATGATTCACGCTTGTCCTAGCTCTAAAATTTTATCATCATGACTTACCTAATGCCTATATTTAGCAAAGCTGAAGTAGTTAATGGTTAATGTTTACCCTATAAGTTACATTTTTCCTGTCATTTTGTATAATAAAATATTCATCTTAAGAGGACGGCATTGTGGTGCAGTGGGTTAAGTTGCTGCTTGTGATGCCAGCATCTGGTATCAGAGTGCCACTTCTAGTCTGGGCTGCTCAGCTTCCAATCCCGCTCCCTGCTAATGTGTCTGAACAGCTGATGATGGCCTATGTACTTGGGCCCCTGCAACCCATAAAGGAGACCTGGATGGAATTCTTGGCTCCTGGTTTCAGCCTGACCCTGTCTTGGCTATTTGGTCATCTGGAGAACAAACCAACATTTGGAAGATCTTTTCTGTCAGTCTCTTCCTTTCTTTCTCTGTCACTTTGCCTCTCAAATGAACAAATAAACAAGTAAATAAGTGATAAATCTTTTTAAAAAATTCCTGTTGTAAATTATGCAATTAAGAAAATATAGCAGTATCTATAAAATAATAAAAAGGCACAATTAACATTTGGTGCATTTATTTTAATGTCTATTTCCACAAATACTCAACATGCATACACATCATTGGGGTCATACCAAATACAAAGTTTTATATCTTTTATTCTAATGAATTTTATACTGTATTTTCCTAACTTATTAAAGAAAGTCTTAGGAACTGGTAGACACTTGGCATCATGGTTAAGATGTTGGCTGGGACAGGTACATCTCATGTTTCTTGATTCTAGTTTCCTGCAAATGTGTACTCTTGGAGGGAGCATGGGATGGTTTCATTCGTTGACTCTCTGCTATTCATGTGGGAGTTCCTGGCTCACAGCTTCAGATGGGTCAGGCCCAGCTATTGCAGGCATTTAGGAAATGAATCAGAGGATGGGAGATTGATCTTTCTCTCTCTCTCCCAAATAAAATGAAAATAAATACATTAAAATTGAAAAAAGAAATAAAACATTTGGATTAGCTTGAACATGTCTGGAAGCCATGAATAAATTATTGTGGGTTTTTTGAGATTTATTTTATTTACTTGAAGGACAGAATTAGAAAGAGAGAGAGAGAGAGGTCTTCCATCTGTTGGTTACTCCCCAAATGGCTGCAATGGCCAGGGTTGGGCGAGGTTGAAGCCAGGAGCTTCATCTGGGTCTCCCACATGGGTTCAGGGGCCCAAGGACTTGGGTTGTCTTGCATTGCTTTCCCAGGTGCATTAGCAGGGAGCTGGATCAGAAATGGAATAGCTGGGATTGGAACTGGTGCCTATATGGGATACCAGCATTGCAGGTGGCAGTTTAATCCATTACACCACAACACTGGCCCCAGACATGAATAAACTGTATACACATGCACCAACTCTCCTCCCTCAAGTCAAACCTAGAATCTCATAGAGGGAGGGAGAATGGTGGTCTCCTATGGCTAAGCATCAGAAGAAGAAATAACTCGGACTCAGTTTACACATGAATTTTCAGAAAACATGAGGGGTAGTAGAAAATGTATGGACACCACATCAGCCCTACCCAGGGATGGAAGGACAGTTTTGAGAAGACATTCTCCATGCAGGCAGTTTTACGAGTAGTGCACACGGTCATCCACTCATTTTATAGAGAGAAATGTACTTTGGGTTGCAAATACCTGGATTCTGGGGCAGGTGGGAGTGGGTTGGCTGGTTTGTTAGGGGTCTGGCAGGAGCAAACCCTAGGCATCCTTGGATGGGTTCTTACATCCTCCTTCCCTCACCCTTCTGTTCCTTCACTCCTGTTCCCTTAGGACTTAAGGGATACTAGTAAGAGAGTACCACATAAACTTCTTTTTTGAAAAAGATTTACTTATTTATTTGAAAGAGTGACACAGAGAAAGAGAAGTAAAGACCGATACGCACACACCCCCCCACCCCCCCCAGCTCTTCTGCTTGCTGGTTCATTCCCTAAATTGCTGCAACAGCCAGGTCTGGGGTTGGCTGCAACCATGAATCAGAAACTCCATCCAAGTCTCCCACAATAAGAATCAAGGACTAGTTACTTTTGCCATTTTCTGCTGCCTTCTCAGGTGCATTAGCAGGAAGCTGGATCACAACCAGAGAAGCTGAGACTTGAACTGTTGCTCTGATATCGGATGTCAGCATTGAAGTGATGACTTAAACTGCTGTATTACAGTGCTGGCTCTTTACATGAACTTTTGTCTCAGGCTCTACTTTGAGGAACCAAATTCTATTTAGTTGTGGGCAAATAAAGCTCCCAAAGTTATACAAGCATATGCTCTGCCCATGTGTGGATAAATGTCTAGTGATAACTCAAACTATCACACTGGGAAAAAAATGAAGAAAGACTTGGCCAGGAACTGGCATTGTGGCATGTTTAGCTACTGCTTACTGTGCCAGCATCTGACGCAGGTTGTGGTTCTGGTTCTACTCCTGGGCTGCTCTATTTCCAATCCAGCTCCCTGTTAATGCGCTGGGAAAGCAGCAGAAGATCATCCATGTGTTTGGGCACCTGCCACCCACATGGGAGACCTGAATGGTGTTCCAGGTTGCTGGCTTTGGCCTGCTCCAGCCCTGGTGGTTGCCATTGTTACCATCTGGGAAGTAAACCAGTAGGTGGAAGAGCTCTCTTTCTCTCTGTAACTCTGCCCTTCAAATAAACAAATCCTTTTATTTATTTATTTATTTAAAAGTCAGAGTTACAGAGAGAGAAGGAGAGGCAGAGAGAGAGAGAGAGAGAGAGGTCTTCCAAGGACTTAGGCCATCTTCTACTGCTATCCTGGGCCATAGTAGAGAGCTGGACAAGAAGTGGAGAAGCCGGGACTCGAACCGGCGCCCATATGGAATGACGGGAGCTTCAGGCCAGGGCGTTAATCCACTGCGCCACCGCGCCCGCCCCTCCTTTTTTTTTTTTTTAAGAAAGACTAGTCCAAATTATTTCTGCTACCTTTCAAGTGTATAATTTCTCTGAAAACACTTCCACCAAGTTAGCCATTTTGGCACTGAGATGGAAACTTGTTTGTGAATAGATGGACAAAACTGTCTCATCAACAAAACAGGAAGTTAAGAAGCTGCCTTATGCTTTTTGACCTGAGAAAATCAACATGTAATCAAAAAAATTTTTTTTAATTAAAGCTACCTTAAAGGTTGAATTTGCCTTTTTCTCAGTTGCATCAACTTTGTCAAAAACCTAAGCAAAGAATTTAAATACCTTTTGAAAATATTTTTCCCACCCTGCTCCTCGATTAGTCTAAAGTTGTTTAACAATTGGTAATTGTCTGCCTTTGTTTAGCATTAAGGACTTCCAAAATACTACATATACTGTTTGAAATAAAGAATGGCATGATTCATTTACCAAGGAGTTATGGAAGAGCACATTAATATCATTCATTGCTCTAACTTTATGAGGGGTTATTGATAAGGCAGAGAAAGCAAGTTACCAGAGGAAACAAAGGAGTGGTAGGGAGTCAAGATGTGAAATGAGGTGTGCATTCTAGTACAGGACAAGAAAGGAAGGAAGGTGATGGCTGTGGTGGGGACTGGGCTGGCTGATGGTGTGGATGAGAAATGAAGCACAGCTGATCTCATTCTGGTGACATCATGTATACCTTCCACTGTGACTCAACAGACGGTGTGACAAACCACTTTCTCATATCAATTGGTTGTGTTGTCACTCAACAGTAGGGGAGAAATCTTTGTTAATGAACTATCTCAAGAATATCTCAGAGCTTTCTGCCATGTTGAACTGCAGTCAAATTCACTTAACCTTTCCTGAAGAGAAACTGAAGTTGTTAAGAATGATAAGGAAGTTCCTGTGTTTTTAGAATGGCAGTAAAGGATTATTTTCATTCAACTGTGAATTAAAAAAGGTGAGATAATTTGTAGAACATGGTTTAGGATGGTATATTGGACATCTATAACTTGTGACTGCTAGATCTTGATTTTCTTTTCCTAACAGCACCACTTTTCTTTTAGAGAAATGCTATTATTTTGGGTTCTGCCTATTAGATATATACTCAGAGGCTCTGGAGATTTTTTTTTTTTTTTGACAGGCAGAGTGGACAGTGAGAGAGAGAGAGAGAAAGGTCTTCTTTTTGCCGTTGGTTCACCCTCCAATAGCCGCCACGGCCGGCGCATTGGGGCGGGCGCACCGCGCTGATCTGAAGGCAGGAGCCAGGTGCTTCTCCTGGTCTCCCATGTGGGTGCAGGGCCCAAGGACTTGGGCCATCCTCCACTGCACTCCCAGGCCATAGCAGAGAGCTGGCCTGGAAGAGGGGCAACCGGGACAGAATCCGGCGCCCCGACTGGGACTAGAACCCGGTGTGCTGGCGCTGCAAGGTGGAGGATTAGCCTAGTGAGCCGTGGCGCTGGCCATCTGGAGATTCTTAACCAAAGTTTGCGTATGTGATTGAAATTAGGCCACTCAGGCACTCCTTGGAATATATCTTACATGGAGGATTAAAGAGAAGGAAAATGGTAGGAATTCATTTAATCCAAGGACAAGAGCCAGGACTTTTAACAGCATCAGATCATTTTTATCATCTCCAGATCCTAGACAACTTGGAATATTCTGATTTGGCACCCTTCAAGGTCTGATTCTCCAGTCTTTCTTCTAGATAATGAGGTTTGCTGTCTTTCTGTGAGTTTTCTTAGCATAAATTAACTAGAGTTACTTCTGTTGTTTGTATCTATAGCATTCTGACTCAGTCCAGTGATGTATCTGACCAAAAGGAGGTTAAAGGAATATTTACTTCACAGCTGTAAGATAAAGCTGTATGGGACCATAACTAGAAGGAATGCCATAGTTAATTATGTAAAAAAATGTTTTAAAAAGCCTTCAGAAAAAATTCCTCAATGATAAATACAACAATTTTATAGAAAGAAAAATAGGGACTAGAAAAAATAGGTAATATTGAACAAAATCCAGGAAATATACTTTTAAGAACTGTGGTAAAATATGAAATAGATGACATAGAAGGTGTTTTTTTTTTTTTAATCTGATATTGATTGTTTCGTTAGTTGATTGGCACTGACAGATTATAGATCTTAATTTAACTGAGATTATATCCTGATTGTTATTTCTCATTATTTAGACCTCACAGAAATGTTCTGGCTGTTTTATTGTGTACACAGAGATAAAATTCCAAAGTTATGGAACTTGCCTGAACTCCAATCTGTCCAGAAGTGGGATTCTATAATGAGTTTAGTCAGATAAAATTGTATAGGATCCAAATTTAGGGATTCTAGACTGTTTTCTTTTTGAAGGTCCAGAATCATTAACGATTTTTGTGTGGGAAGAATGTCTTGTTATGCAAAAACAAACAATGAAGGTCTAATTGCTTGTCACTTTCCTCTGTATTATTTTCCTGAAAAGTATTTTTGGAAAACTTAATACATTATATTACCTGGATTTATTATACACTTTTTCACAATGAAATGAAAGCTTATTTGTATCATGTATCACAGAATTAGTATTTGTATTTGTATTACAGAAATTTCCTAAAACAGGATAGAATGAGTCATTGAATATCATATATCAAAACTTTTATTACCGAAGCACTTGGAGAGTTAGCACCCTCACAGATAACCAGTTGGAATTACAAAAATATTGAATACAATCACAGTTAGATTTAGCTCTCTGCTTTTTATCAGAAGAACCAACACTTCTCTAATAGCTAATAAACTCCTTCTCTGGGGAGAAGGTTCTGACGTCTTTCCTCTCATCTTTAGGGAATAAGTTTCCCTTTGTATTTAATAAGTCTGTGTGAATACAAATAAGCCAGTCTCCAAAAGACAATATATGTTTATTCTGATAAGTGGTAGTTCATATAGAATGCAAAACATGTATAGGATTAAAACAGACATCTTGTGATTTGAATGTTGTTTTCAGCTCTTGTTTATGCTTCCTGCAGAACTGTGATCTCTCTACATTTTACTTGTGGAATATTCTGGTAAGTGATACATTAAGCCTGTGATATAGAGTGGGGTGAAATTATGTTTTTGCAAAAATTAAAAAAAAGAAAATAAGAAAGGAAGGAGAAGGATTGTGGGAGAGTGAGGGGTTGGGAGAGAATTACCGTTATCTTAAAATTATACCTATGAAATACGTGAATCTGTTTTAATCTCTTTTTTAAAGAAAGGCAAACTTATGGGGGAGAGAGATCTTTCATCCACTGATTCACTACCCAAATGGCTACAAAGACCTGGAGCTGGGCCAGACCGAAGCAAGGAGCCAGGAGCTTCATCCAGGTTAACCATGTGGGTGCAGGGGCCCAAGGTCTTAAGCCATCTTCTGTTCTTTCCCAGGCATGTTAGTAAAGAGCTGGATTGCAAGTGGGGCAACTAGTACTCAAACCAGCACCCATATGGCATCCCAGCATCACAGGCAGTGGCTTAACCCGTTATGCCACTTTATATTAATAAAAATTAAAAAAAATTACAACCAAGATGGTGCTCATTATAAAAAATTAATCTGTTAACAATCTAATTCTCCAGTTAGCACTGAGATCTTAAAAAAAAAAAAAACCCTAGATGTGGGGAGCAACTCGGACTAGACTAAGTTACTGGAATTAAGACTTATTCTATGCATCTGCTCTCCCACAATATGGTGCTGGGAGAGGAGGAAACAGCTTCTACACAGCTGCCTCCAGTTCAACCAATAAACTGTAGGACCTGCTCCTGATTGGAGGAGAGCAGCGTACTCGGCGTGTGGGTAGCAGAGTTGGGATTGGTGGAAGAGGACTATAAAGGAGGAGAGAGACAACATGCACCGGGAACATCTGAAGGAACACCTGAGCAGCCCCCGAGAGAACCGGCCGGCGGTGTGCTGCTCCCCCGCGGAAGTGGGGAAAGTGGCAGGGGGAACCGCCCTTCCACGGAGGTGGAAGGGTCGGTAGCCAACCCGGGAAGAACCAGCAGCAAACCCGGGGAGGGCCGAGCAGACAAAAGAACAGCGCAGGGTCCTGTGTCGTTCCTCCACGAAGAGGGGGAGCAACACTAGAAAGCAAGACCCCCTTAAGAGAGATCTTGAAAACTATGATCATGACACTACCTTGCTCTATACATAAGGAATGCTTTTACCTGCAAATAATAGAAAGATCTAATAATTACTTAAACACATAGTGCTTTGTTTTTCCTCATGTTACACAAAGTCTGGCAGCAAGTTTCCAGGCTATTCAATGACTCAATAAGTTAATAAAATATACACCTCATTTTTAGATTTTCCCAACTAGCCATACATAACATATTTGCTCATTGCTCCTATAGTTCCATGCATCACTTTTACACTGAAGGAAAGAGGAGGGATGGGTTGGTGACAATGAACTCTCCTCAATTATTTCCTTTTAAAAACAAGCAAAGGTTTTACAGAAGACTTCTGTCAGAGTTAGGTTTATGTTCTCATTGGCCAGAACATAGTCACACATCCACTCTAGACCAATCACTACTGGGAGGAAGTGTAGCATTACCATGATTGGTTAAAATCAACTGTTACTCATCTCATAGTTCAAAGAAGGGAGGTCCCAAGGGAATTGACATTCCTTCTATAAAGGTTTTTTATTTATTACCACAACATAGAATTAGAGAAGAGAGGAGGATATTGTTTTGCCTGACATGATAGCCTTCCCAAGATTTGCCCTATTGGTTCCCTTTCATTCTTTGGGTCTATTTAAATGTCATCTCTTCAGAGAGTATGTTCTTAGTCATGCAACCAGAGGGAGACCACTCTCCAATTGTTTTTATACTCACAGAAAACTGTCCATAACCTTATTCTCAATGTAATTATGCATTTTTTGATCATTTAAAAAAAAGTCGAGGCCAGTGCTGTGCCATAGTGGGTAAAGCCACCACCTTCAATGCTGGCATACAATATGGGCATCAGTTCGAGTTCCAGCTGCTCCATTTCCAATACAGCTCTCTGTTATGGCCTGGGAAAGCAGTGGAAGATGACCCAAGTCCTTGTGCCCCTGTATCCACATGGAAGACTCAGAAGAAGCTCTTGGCTCTAGGCTTCTAATCAGTGCAGCTCTGGTGTTGCAGCCATCTTGGGAGTGAACCAGTGGATGGAAGACCTCTGCCTCTCTTACTCTACCACCTTTCAAATAAATAAATAAACAAATAAGTATTAAAAAAGTGTTCTCTTTGTCCCCTTTGCTCCAAGGATGATGTCCTTTTGGGGAAAACACTTTAATTGGCCTGTAAATATGCAGAACAAAGTAAAAATCCTGTTCTATTTTTGAAGGACACAATTAATTAATAAGTTAACTGATTTACATAGTAATAGTATTGTCTTTCTTTGGGGCACAGTACAGATTAATCATGGATAGGTAAAGATGATTTTTCTGCCCTCTCTGCATCCCAAGGATTTGGACTTAGCAGGAGAGAAATTACAAGGATACTACAAGAGATGGTTTAATCTGTAGAGTATGATGGAAGGCTAAGTGCTAAACAGAGAGAAATAAACAGTAATGATAATGATAATAATGACAATATTTAAAACCTGCTATTGGGTGCATACTAGGTATGGGGCAGAAATCTAAGTAATGTGGTTTGGGTTGGTATTTGGCGCAGTGGTTAAGATGATGACTGGGACACATGCATCCCATAACAGAGTGCCAGCGCTCAACTTCTGGCTCCACTTTCAACCCAGCTTCCTGCTAATGTGCATCCTGGGAAGTGGCCAATCATGGATCTAAGTACTTGGGTTTCCTGTCACCCATATGGGACATGCAGATTGAGTCCCAATCTCTTAGCTTCATCTTGGCCCTGCTTCTGTCTCTCTGTTTTTCAAATTAAAAAAGAAAGAAAGAAAATAATTTTTTAAAAAAGTAATTCTTGGGGCCGGCGCTGTGGCATAGCAGGTAAACCACCGCCTGCAGTGCTGGCATCCCATATGGGTGCCAGTCGGAGTCCTGGCTGCTCCACATCCGACCCAGCTCTGCTAGGGCCTGGGAAAGCAGTGGAAGATGGCTCAAGTCTTTGGGCTCCTGCAACCACATGGGAGAACCCTAAGAAGCTCCTGGCTCCTGGCTTCTGATCAGCACAGCTCCGGCCTTTGCAGCCATTTGGGGAGTGAACCATCGGATGGAAGACTCTCTCTCTCTCTCTCTCTCTCTCTCTCTCTCTCTCTCTCTGTGTGTGTGTGTGTGTGTGTGTAACTCTGACTTTCAGGTAAATAAATACATCTTTAAAAAATTCCAATAAAAGTAATTTTGAGAAAAAACTCATTAAGACTTCAAAGGTATTTTGGCATGGTAGGTGCCCTTTGAAACAGAGATTTTAAATGACCTGTCAGAGGTCACTCAGACATTAGGAGGAGGAGCCAGGATTTTCATTTATGCTGTCCACGTCTTGATTATGCTCTTGATCACTGCCTCTTGTGGGCAGAGATAGCTCATCTATGAGAGCACAGTCTCTTTTACTCATTGTAATTCCTCTTTATATCCTCAAGTCTTTGGTAAATTTTGTTAAATGTTGTTGCTTGGCTTTAGCTGGGCATTGTTAAGTTGATAGAGGAGTCTCTGTTAATGCTTAAAAGGGAAATTTGGGCAAGCAGTACTGACCAGGAGAAGCTTATTAATCAGTGATCCCCAGGGATCTGGATCAGAACAGTTGTCTGAGAGGATGAGCAACAACCAGTGTGATAGTGTAGAATTGAGGAGCCTGCCTCATTCATAGAGAGGCATACAAGAATGTGAAGAGGGGCACTCTCACAAAATTATGGAATTATAGAAACTTGAAGTATCCTTAATTTGCTAATGATAACTTGTAAATAAGAATCATAAGGATGTTAGGAGGTTAGAGAATTGGACATCTGGGTATGCTTCCTGGACTTGATGTAAATTGGACATAAAGACATAACCACGTTCCACCTTGCTGCTTATTCCAAACACTACCTTCCATTGTATCCTGTCCATCTCATGGCTACATGAAGTGGGGCTAAATCAGTCAGGTGGCACAGAGGCTAACGGTGTCAGGGCAGCGGAAGCTTATTAACAACTCAAAGGACATGATTTGACCTCTCATAGTTGGTGTACAGAAAGAAAATTATGGAGGCTTTTGATGCACCTGAAGCAGGAGAGGAAAATCTTGTATTCAAACGCTATGAAAGGATGGGCTTGTTTCTTTATAACTCAAAAAATCCACTGTCAGGAAATAGAAAGGATTGAAAGGCCCTTAATGCCCCACCCACAGCTGCTGGATGGCTTTAAGAAATCTAAAGCTATTACGATAACAATAACTAAGTTTTGAGCCACTAATATTTTCCAGGTGTGATTTATTTATCACTGTCTATGAATTAGGGATTAATTCTTCTCCCTATTTTATAGACTTGTGCACAGCAGTTCTTGCCTGAGTGACAGCTGACTAAACTCCACTTTGTTCTCTGTTCAGCTTTTATGCAATTTTCCAAGGTTTTGTTACAGTGAGAGGCAACATATGTCCACATATTAATGTGAAAATTATTGTGATTCAGATTTTTAAAGGAAAATTCTGTATATTGTGGATGCTATATTGGGCATGGTAGATAATCAGCTGAGCAAAGTAGAACTGACTTACTCTTGGATGTGGCAGGAATAATTGCAGAAACGATGTATATACAACGTAGGACTGCTCGACTTTTATGTATTTTAATTTAATTGTTTTTTTTCCTTTTTTAAAAAATTTTATTTGTTACACAAGTTCATATATTTGATAAATACAGATTTAGAACCATAGTGGTACTTCCCTGCCTGCCCTCCCTCCCACCCATGCTCCAACCGCTCCTCCCCTCCCTCTCACATGCCCACTCAGTTTTTACAATGATCTATTTTCAGTATACTTAATGATTATATAGCTAACTCTACTCTTCACAAACCTAAGGATTCCTTGGCCATGTGAGGACAAGCTAAGGTCAGTTTTTGGAAGAGTGTGATGTGATTTCTTAGGTGAAATTATTGAATGGAAATGTTCATAATTAGCTAAGCAGAGCCTATAAAAAGCTAAGTGAATTATAAAACACACATTTAGAAATTGTGATAAAATAATGTGATGAGTGAGTTAATCACAGTTTTTATCACTTGTTAGTGAGCTTTCTTTTTTTTCTTTTTTTTTTTACTATTTTTTTAACTTTTATTTAATGAATATAAATTTCCAAAGTACAGAATATGGATTACAATGGCTTCCCCCCCATAACGTCCCTCCAACCCGCAACCCTCCCCTTTCCCTCTCTCTCTCCCCTTCCATTCACATCAAGATTCATTTTCGATTCTCTTTATATACAGAAGATCAGTTTAGCATACATTAAGTAAAGATTTCAACAGTTTGCTCCCAAACAGAAACCTAAAGTGAAAAATACTGTTTGAGTACTAGTTATAGCATTAAATCTCAATGTACAGCACACTAAGGACAAAGATCCTACATGAGGAGTAAGTGCACAGTGACTCCTGTTGTAGACTTAACAAATTGACACTCTTGTTTATGGCATCAGTAATCACCCTAGGCTCTTGTCATGAGCTGCCAAGGCTATGGAAGCCCCCTGAGTTCACTGACTCTGATCATATTTAGACAAGGCCATGGTCAAAGTGGAAGTTCTCTCCTCCCTTCAGAGAAAGGTACCTCCTTCTTTGAAGACCTGTTCTTTCCACTGGGATCTCACTCGTGGAGATCTTTCACTTAGGTTTTTTTTTTTCCCCCAGAGTGTCTTGGCTTTCCATGCCTGAAATACTCTCATGGGCATTTCAACCGGATCCGCATGCCTTAAGGGCTGATTATGAGTTTTTTTTTTTTAAAGTATTTATTTATTTGAGAGACAGAGTTACAGAGAGGAGAGACAGAGAGAAAGGTCTTCCATCCACTGGTCCACTCCCTAAATGGCCATAACAGCTGGAGCTGGGTCAATCCAAAGCCAGGAACCAGGAGCATACTCTGGGCCTCCCATGTGAGTATAGGTCCCAAGCACTTGGACCATCTTTCACTGTTTTCCCAGGCTATAAACAGAGAGCTATATTGGAAGAGGAGCAGCTGGGACATGAACCTATATGAGATGGTGGTGCCTCAGGCAGAGGCCTAGCCTATTAGGCCACAGTGCCAACCCCTCATTTAATTGTTAAAAGAATAAAGGGTGTGGTAAACTATGAAGATAATATATTTACTGTTAAATCTTTTTAAAGCATGTATTTTAGGTAGGAGCTAATAACAAATTAATAAATACTATGTAACTCGAGTATCAAGTGACCTTTGGTATACTGCTGCTCTTTCCTTGGCTTTCTGTACCTTTTTTGACTACCCTACAATCAAAAACCACTTTTCACTGTTGAGAAGAGTTTCCCAGATTAATTGCTGTTTGCTTTCAATTCCCACCCACATGAACCCTTTTAAACTGGCTGTTATCTCAGAGCCAAGACAGAGGGAGAGGGAAGGGCCAGGTGAATACATTGCTCTACCTTTCTGTTTTCCAACCATCATGTCCATTGTTACCGATGGAGAATACATGGTTTGGGGATTTCAGTTTTGCACATTTCTGCACCAAATCTTAAATAAGTGCCTACAAGTTGCCAGACACCGTAGGTAAAGACCAGAGAACAAGACGCTCTTTTCAAAGAGCTTATGCTGCAATGGGAGCAAATCATCCTGGTTTGATCAGTACACATTATATACATGTATTGAAATGTCACCCTGTACCTTATAAATATGTGTGATTGTCGTGAATCAAAAATATTCTTTTAAAATGTTTAAGGAGATGAGAATGCTAACAAACCTGATCGGTCTTCACACAGTGCATACCTACATTAGATTATCATACTGTACCCCATAAATATGCACAGTTAAAATAACAATTAAAAAGAAAAAGGAAAAATGGTAAATAAAATGTACTTGTATGCAGAAATTGGAAAATCTTCAAGCTAAAATGCATTTATATTTTAATTTCATTTCTCCAAGAACATTTTGAAGTATCTGTATAGAGATAAGCCATGGAAGGAGATGAGATTCCTGCTGCAAAAGATAATAGAGATGAAATAAAGAGTGATGGGGGGAGGATTTCAAGTTGTGTTTTAAGGTAGACATGACGGGGCTGGCGCTGTGGCGCAGCGGGTTAACACCCTGGCCTGAAGCACCAGCATCCCATATGGGCACCGGTTCTAGTCCTGGCTGCTCCTCTTCTGATCCAGCTCTCTGCTATGGCCTGGGATAGCAGTGGAAGATGGCCCAAGTCCTTGGGCCCCTGCACCCTCATGGCAGACCCGGGAGAATTTCTTAGCTTCCGATCGGTGCAGCTCTGGCCATTGCAGACAATTGGGGAGTGAACCATCGGATGGAAGACCTCTCTCTCTCTCTCTGTAACTCTGTCTTTCAAATAAATAAAATAAATAAAAAAAATATAGACATGGCTACATGGACCAGTTTCCTTTAAATTGCTGTTTACCTGATAAGAAGGGACCAGAAGACAGGCTTTGACCTTCTTGTGCACCTTATTAAGTGAGGGACCTCTGTGAAGTCCTTGAAACTCAGTCTCAGTTTTGCTCTCTCCAAATCAAGAAACTTAACTTTATAGAACTGAGAAGAAAACGAAGTAATTTGTCAGGTAACTTTGTATATGGGAAGAAAGCTACGTTTCTAAATCAGGTATTGCCAGGGGATTCCAATTCAATCCCATCAAGGTGACATGCACCAATGCCATCTCACTAGTCCAAGTGATCAATTTCTGTTCACAATTGATCATAATGAAAGGACTAAGAGTCAAAGGGATCACATAAACAAGTCTAGTGCCTGCTGATACTAACCGATAGAATAAATAAAGGGGAGAGCAATCCAACATGGGAAGCAAGATACACAGCAGAGTCATGGAATGGCAGATGTCTTAAACAGCACTCTGGCCTCAGAATCAGCCCTAAAGGCATTCGGATCTGGCTGAAAAGCCCATGAGAGTATTTCAGGCATGGAAAGCCAAGACACTCTGGAAAAAAAAAAAAAAAAAAAAACAACCCTAAATGAAAGATCTCTGTGAGTGAGATCCCAGTGGAAAGAACAGGTCTTCAAAGACGGAGGTACCTTTCTCTGAAGGGAGGAGAGAACTTCCACTTTGACTATGACCTTGTCTAAATAAGATAAGAGTCGGAGAACTCAAAAGGCTTCCATGGCCTTGGAAACTCATGACTGGAGCATAGGGAGATTACTGATGCCATAAACAGGGGTGTCAATTTGTAAAGTCAACAACAGGAGTCACTGTGCACTTACTCCTCATGTAGGATCTCTGTCCTTAATGTGCTGTACATTGAGATTTACTGCTATAACGAGTACTCAAACAGTATATTTCACTTTGTGTTTCTATGTGGGTGCAAACTGTTGAAATCTTTACTTAATGTATGCTAAACTGATCTTCTGTATATAAAGAAATTTGAAAATGAATCGTGATAAGAATGGAAGGGGAGAGAGAGAGGGAAAGGGGAGGGTTGCGGGTGGGAGGGAAGTCATTGGGGAGGGGGGGAAGCCAATGTAATCCATAAGCTGTATTTTGGAAATCTATATTCATTAAATAAAAGTTAAAAAAATAAAAATAAATCAGGTATTTCACTTAGGATTCATGTCAGCTATCTCACTAATACAATTTCCATAAAATATAAAGGGCTGTTGTTGTTTTCATTATTATCAAGCTTCCCCCCCTGAGGTTACTCTTTGCTTGTCCTCTTTTCCTCTTTTTGGACAGGCAGAGTTAGACAGAGACAGAGAGAGAGAGAGAGAGAGAGAGAGAGAAGGGTCTTCCTTTTTCCTAAATGGCTGCTACAGCCGGTGCTGCGCTGATCTGAAGCCAGGAGCCAGGTACTTCCTCCTGGTCTCCCATTTGGGTGCAGGGCCCAAGCACTTGGGCCACCCTCCACTGCCTTCCTGGGCCACAGCAGAGAGCTGGACTGGAATAGGAGCAACTGGGACAGAATCCGGCGCCCCAACCGGGGTGCCGGCGCTGCAGGCAGAGGATTAGCCAAGTGAGCCACGGCGCCGGCCATTGTCCTCTTTTCCTAAAATGACTCCAGAGTGGCCACTCAAGCAGAATGGGAAAATAGCACAACTATTCATTTTTCCTTGATGCATTTCCTATTGCAACCTTTTGTCAGCGTTAGACAATTCCATCATGTTCTACGATTCTATCTGAGGATTTTTGTTGTAACTTTACTCTTAACATCCTCTTGGATGCTCAGACTACTCTTGTATCCTATGCATGGAAATGCGCAGAAAAAAACTGCATGAGTTACTGACACAACCACTCCCTGGCAGGATGATGCTAAGCTATGTACCTTTCTGTTTCATCTATGTACTTAAAAACGTTTGTGGAAGAATGGAAATTAAAAGATAAATTTACTTTGGTGCAAAAAATGTTGGAAATCCAGGCATAGTTTTTCCTGTAAAATACATTTTTTATGAACATTTTGGAGACCCCCTCCTATCAAGTAGAGGCAATAATATTGTCAATCTCACAGGATGCTTGTTGTAAAGAGTAAATGGTTCACTACTTCTAAAGCATTGCAAAGAACAAGAACTCCACATATGTTGCCATCTTACTACCTGTTTCCTGGATCTATTCCTTCTTCCTCAACTGTCTTCTTAAAATGTTTTTATTTTTTTATTTAATCAAGAGGCAGAGAGAAACAGACACACAGAACTCCCATTTGCTGGTTTACTTTCCAAATGCACGCAACAGCCAGAGCTGGACCAGGGTTAATACCAGGAGCTGAGCATTTAGTTCAGATTTCTCACATG